CTGTGCCAGGATACGCTTCCCAGCTCTGCAGGGATGGGAGGACACAGCTCCACCATTCCCACCTGGGAAGGCTCAGACCACCTCTGATGTGGACTAAGAGCTGAGGCAAGGGACCCAGAGCCTCCAAGGCCAGAGACTTGGCTGGCCAGTTGTATTGTGGACCTGAGCCAGCCACTGCTTGTCCCCATTGTGGTGCCTGAGCAGTGGCGAGTTCCCAGAAGGGCTCAGCCCATGTGTCGTGTCAAGACGGTGCAAACCCAGGTGTCACGAAGCCAGCAAAGAAGGGTCAGCACTTCAGGACGAAATGGTGCTGCTGCTGTGCTTCCCGTAGCAAATGTGACGCCGTTTACAACATCCCATTTGCAGAAAACACATTGTACAGCCAAATCCCCATCTTGCTGGACTCTGTCCTCTCCCAGGGGTGTGAGAAGGAGCAGCATCTCTAACCAGCTTCGCAGGCTGAGTCTGCTGGCCCTTTCATCCAGCACCGATGGAAAGGGTGGGCTGCTTCCCTATGTGCCACTGGGACCAGCAGCATCCCTCCAGAAACTGTGCTTGGGTGAGTCTGTAATCACAGAATCAAGCTGGGATCCTGGCCTGCGGGCTGCAGTACCTGCTAAATATAAATCAGTTTGTATGGAAAGGGCTCCTTCTCCTGCATAGCACAACCCAATTTCACCTAGGAAGCCCTGCATGATAATTTCTGGAGGTGTAAGAACGTGCTTATAGAGGGCTGGGGACGATACGCAATGTCCCTCTGGGCTGCTGAGTGTCACTCTTCAAGCTTTGCACCTTATTCTCAGCCTCTATGAGGCAACCTTCAAAATACAGGGCATTTCTGCAAACCTACCAACAGCCAGCACTGAAGAAAGCTCCTTTTCAGCACGGCACCAGCCAGCAGCCCAGGAGCGGTTCATTCGGCGCAGCACGGCACAACACGGCCCGTAACAAATGAAGGCAGAGCAGGGCACGGGGACGGGGCGTCTGAATGCAGCACTGGTGGCTTTCTGTAGCTGCCGGCACTTAAAATGCTCTCCCCGATAGCCACAGCCTGCTCTCTGCATTAATTTCATCACACTCCCTCTTTTGTGCGCCTGTGTGCGCGCGCATGCTGATATCCTTCCAGATGGGCCCCTCTTCTTCTTTGTGCTGCTGAATCGATGAAGAGGCTTCCTTCAGTTCTCAGACTTTTTCAGAGGAGCCTTTGGAAAGCCGATCTCCGGTCACTGGCCCGGACCCCTGACCCGAGCCAGATCAGTCATCCTGATTGCCTATGAACTGGGAAGACAGCTTGGGAATACCACGGCTTTCGAGCAGCAGAGGCCTCTCGTTTCAGCTCAGCCGGGTGTGAATCTGCAGCAGCTCCTCTCCCCACTTCTATCAATGCCTGTCAGGGCATTGTGCGGAGATGTGATGGAGCCCTCGGCTCGCTGAGCGGCTTTGGTGACCAGCAGAAAGCCTTCTGGCATCTCGCCTCGTCCGACGTGCTCGCGGCGCTGCCAGTCTGGCACTCGCGGGAAAGTTTTCCAACAGCAGATGTCCCAAAGTGACAGATTTTTTTTCCTGTTGACGGGAAGAAATAAAAGGACACTGCATATTTCAGATGGTTGACACGCAGAGACGCTCTGCACCTCCTCGCACGGCAACTACATATTTTCCTTTTGTTTGAGCTTCCGTAAAAAAAAAAAAAAAAAAAAAAAGACAAAAAGCAGCAAAACCTGGGAAAGCTGCTGGACCAAACACTGACCCGGCTACGCTGCATCCCGGGGCGGGGTGAAGTGGTGGGTGAAGGCAGGAAGAATTTGTCAATAGTTAAGATGAAAATGGATGCACAGCAGAGGTATCAGCTGGGATGATGCTGGGGTTCATGTAACTCGCTGACAGCTCCTGCCCTCCTCATCACAGCTATCGGCGTGCTTCAGAGCCCGTGCCGGGGCTTGCAGGGAGCTCAGCAGCATCCTTTCAAGGTCTGCCTGTGGGTGTTAGAGGGAGCGAGAGAGAAAAAACACTTATTCTCATGGAGCTGGGGTTTAGATTCTGGGCATTGTGCTCACCAACTTCTCCACACTCAGTTTCTGCTCCTTACCCAGGTTTATAGCCGTAGCCAAAAATCCAGTTGTTTTGTTGACCCCGTTGCTTGCACATCGTTCCAGGTGACATGGGTCCTAGGTAATGGCTGGCCAAGGCTCTTATTGCATGGTACATCCAAAGACAACCTTGTAAATCTCAATGAACATTAACTTTTCAAAGCCTGAAGCAAGTTTCCAGCTACCTGCCATGTCCACTTTGTGGAAATTTATTTTATTTATTTCTTCTGCCTTGACTGTGCATAACAAGTGTTACTGGCCACGCTGGGACCTCTGCAGAGAGGCAGCTGGGATGTCCGAGGCTCAGCCCAGCTCTGGGTCCCAGTAGCCAAGTGCTGTCCTGTTCCAGGACCACTGGCATCCAGCACAACATCTGTGTCATGCAAGAGGAGCTTCACTCACCCCTCAATCCTCCTAGGAGAGAGATGTCTTTGGCCCCAGCATCATGCTGTTGCCATCAGTCTCCTTGCTCAGCTTTCCAACCAGCCCCTCCTCTTCCCTCCTCCGCATCTTTTCCTCTCTCTTTGTAAAGCAAATAAATACACTTGAAGGCAGCGAAGCCTAAATGCTCCTTGTTGTTCCTGGGCTGCTTTGTGCTTGGGAAGCTTAACGCCGCTCTCGACTTGTGTGCCAGCCCGGCCTGGCTGCTCCTGGGTGCCCAGATGCACAGCGGCCGCCTGGAAATAATCCCTGCATTGACAGGGCAGAAGGAAGCGCTGCTGCTCCTTCCACACATCTGCTTTGTGCAGAGCTGCAAGTACAGCTTTCGGCCGGTGTAATCCTGCCTTCTGCCATCTGTCCTCACAGGAATCAGCCCTTGTTGACACAGTTGAGCCACACATCGGGTCCTTGCTCCCTGTGTCCCCCTCCCCGCTCTGCCTCTCTCCTTCCATTTAATCAGATACCTTGAGCCCGTGGCTATGAGAGGAGCTTAGGGCCGATTCTCTAAAATCACCATATCAGCTGAAACCATCACATTTGATATTCCATTTACAATGTTTCCAAGGAAACAAAGGCACAGGACATAAATAGATGACTGTTAAACATTTGCTCACTCACCATGGCCCCAATAATTTGCAAGGCAGAAATATGAATGTTAAATCAACAGCAATAATAAATTTTAATACAGGAAGACCAATATTTTGCTGCAATTAGAAGAAGCATTTGTTCTGACATACAGGCAAGCAGTGGCAGGTTATTTATCATTTCCACTTTCCACGTACCATTTTTCATTTACATAAAAGGCAGCTTTGATTATGACCCCCAAAAAGCCGTGAAGTACCCCTCACATCAGCAGGGGTGCTTGGGCTTTACTCACGTGCAGTCAAGCCCCAAGTCCACCTGGAATTCACCACAGAAGAAAATGATGTATTTCTCCCTAGAAGCAAGTAAGGGATGTGGATTTGTTTAGGTTTGGGTCATTTCTAACAGAAAAATAGCAACCAGAAAGCTCCTGCAAGCTGTGGCATAAGCCAATGAGATGCTGCTGAAGTTTGGAGGCCTCGTGGTCTCCCGGACATTCATGCCAAGCCAGAAGCAAACCACAGTTCAAATGAACTGGGCAGGCCTGGAAATACAGATGCACAAATAGGGATTAATCCAGAGTGGAGCACGTCTGGGTGATGCTCTAAAGTGAAAGGGGAGGCAGGGGTGAGCGGTCTTTTATTCACACAAATTGAATCGCGTTGTTCCAGGCTTGATTTCCGAGGAAGGGAGCAGGCCCTGGAGAGAGCAGAGCTTTCATTGATGGATCCCTGTTTGTGAACAAATGTTATTAAGAAGAGATAGAGCTGATGTGTTGCGCGATTATTTCTGAGTCAATATTTGCTGGTGTTGTTTTAAAGATACTGGGCAGCGCAAGCCTTGGGCTGGCCCTGAACTTGCTCCAGTTGTACGCAGCCATTGCCAGAGGGTCTTGCAGCTCAGAAAGGTCCTTCAGTTCAAGTGCCCACATGTACGAGGACTCTGGTTGTCCCTGTGCCCACTGAGCCACTAAACATCCCTCCCAGAGGTGATGCAGAGATGGGCACCAGGCTCAGGAACACACTTATTTGGGAAGCTGGTACATCACTGGCTTTTCCCCCTCCTTCAGGGATGTTTTCCATCAGGGTAGCCTGTCCTTATCTTGGGGGCTGAAAGCAGCACCTGAGCCTCCTATGGAGGTCCCCAATAGCAGGCTGGAGGAACTGTCTTGGTTGCTGCCATGGGAGAGCAAGCTTTGATGTGCCGGCATCAAAAAGATGCTCAGAGGTTTTGCAGACAAAACCGGCATCTCGCTCATAAGCTTTGGTTTTTGGCTCATGGTGATTGTGTTTCTGAAAATGCAGAAGCAGGAGCTGAGACTGTAACCCTGCCGGATAAATCAGCTAATCCCAATGTTACCCTAAGACTGCTCTAATGTGCTATAATACAATTAGAGCATCACCAGAGGGCTTTCTGGCTGCACTTGATTATACTTGGCTTAGCAACTGTGTGTGGTGCCTGGATGGGTCTCACTGGTGTGTACTGGAACTAAGCCAGTTAAAGCTGGTTTGGGTGTATGGATGCACTTACCACAGAGCTACCTCTGCAGCGTGGCTGGGATCTTCCTGAATTCAGGGCTTCATATCCTGCCGTTCCCTGTCCCGCCCTGTGTCCCCATCTGGCTGTACTTGAACCACAGTCTTTGCAAGTTGAGACAGAGACAACCTACCCAGTTATGGGATCCGGGGTGTGATGCATCCACCTCCTGGGGTTTTCCTTCCCCAAGAGCACCAGCCCGCAGCTTCCTGGAGGCTTTTTGTGGAAATAGAGGCAGGTGGGATGCCCTGCCATCAAAGCCAGCACAGGGGGCCGTGGAATAGCTGGAGGGGAGGGACATCTGCTGCAGAGAGTGTTCAGTGAGATGCTTGTCCCCGTTGTGTCCCCACGCAGCACGCTCTCCATCTACGGGATCAACCAGGCGGATGAAGCCATCTACCAGTGCATCGCCGAGAACAGCGCCGGCTCCACGCAGGCCAGCGCTCGCCTGACGGTCCTGTGGGCAGATGGGCTGCCCGGTCCTCCGCAGAGCGTGAAGGCTGAAACAGTCTCTGCAACCACCATCCAAGTGTCTTGGGAAGAGCCTCTGCAGAACACCAAGGAGATCATCGGCTACGTGCTGCACATTCGGAAAGCTGCAGGTATGGTGCCCGACGCGCGGCCCAGAGCATCCTCAGCCTTCCCGTAATTTAAAAGCAACATGGCCCACTAGGTAAACCAGGTCTGTGCCGCAGTAGACAGCACTGCCATCCATGTTCTCCATCATCTCCATGTTTCTGAAAGACAGAGATGAGGCAGTAACGCTGATGCAAATACCAAAAGGGTGGGGAGGATGAAGCTGTGTGATCAGATCTTGCTGCCTGCTTGGGGCTCTAACAAAGCACACAGAAATGTCAGCAGAAAATGATGTAGGCAGATACATATCCACCTTAGGGACCAAAATTACCACTTACAACATCTGTTTAGTCTCCTTATCAGAGAAGCTGTGGCTGCCCCCTCCCTGGAAGGGTTCAAGGCCAGGTTGGATGGGACTTTGAGCAACCTGGTCTAGTGGAAAGTGTCCCTGCCCATGGCAGGGGGGCTGGGAGTAGATGGTCTTTGAGGTCCCTTCCAGCCTAAACCATTCTGTGATCTTGCAAAGCCTAACACTGCTCTGTTCTCCCTTTCTTTGTGCTTCAGATCCTGTAGAGATGGAGTATCAGGAGGCTGTTAGCAAGAGCACCTTCCAGCAGCTAGTGACTGATTTAGAGCCCTCGACCAGCTATAGCTTCTATATAAAGGCTTACACCTCCCGGGGTGCCAGCAAAGCCTCAGAAGTCACAGTGGTGAGCACGCTGGGAGAAGGTAAGGAACGCTTTGCGCTTGGACCTTCAGATGCTGAAACCCGCTGTGCGTAGCTGCAGCGCCGGTCACCCCGATACCCACTGCGGAGCGTTTTGGCACAGCCTGTGGTGTTGATGCTCCTTGTTCCCGCTCCTCCTCGTACGCTGGGATATTGTGTAAACCTCACTTGTATCGTTACACGGGGGTCTACTGATTGTCTTAAACGCAGCATTGCCTCGCACAGCTGATGTTGTAGCAGGGGGTGAGCTGAAAGTCTGGCTGGTCTTGTGCATTGCAGCTGCTCTGGGCTTTTCCTAAACTGCTTGCTAAATACAGATTTCCTGCTCAAGCAGCATCTCATCATCCTCCAGCAGCTCTGGTAGTCACAGCTCTTACCTGATAGGTGCCACACTTTTTAAAATTTTATTTTTTTCTACTCTACCCTGGAGAAATCACGCTAGAGCTGAGCTGTCCTGACCTACAAATCCCTGACTTGGACCAGCCTTCTGTTTTAGTGGGGAGTTAGGATGATCTCCAAGGCTTTTTCCCTGACTTGGCCTCCCAGATGTGGCCACCAGTTAGCTTCCCCAGTAAGAAGGTGGGTACTCTAATACAGGACCCTTGCACACAGACACCAGACAGAAGCCGCAGCCCCAGTGTGATCTGTCAGCTGGCATTTTAGGAACGTTTTCCTAGAGACTCATGTACCTCTCCAGCACCTCCGAATCCTGGCTCATCTCACATACTGAGACTAATTTCATAGGAGCATTGCATAGTTCTCATGAGCACTCAGTAATTGTGAATTTGCAGCAGAGAGGGCCTGGGGTGTGAGTGTGTTATTTAGGATCAAATGAAAGATTGTGTTGACTTCCAGGTGAGGGATCCAGTTCTCTTTCTGTTTTCATCCCTTGCAGATGTTTACTACAACATTTAAGCAACACCACCAATAAATCCTCACCCTGCCAGGTTGTTACCCTGCAAGTTTATTTTCCTTGGTACTCTGCAGGGAATCAGTCACCCTTGGAGTTTGTTTTTCCTTCCAATTTAGACACACAAGGTAAAACTTGAAACTCCTTGACCCAATGCTCTGAGTTCAGCTACTGGAGCTAGAAGCCAGCCATGCTTCATAAAGCTTGGTGTTTCTGCAGAAGTCTGGGTCAAGCTAGAGAGGATTTTTTGTCATTATGACCTTCAGTCATGACAGAAATAGTTAGGTATCCAGTAATGGGATCATAAATTTCCTGGCTCTCTGAAATTTCAAGGCATCACTGTCCTGCTCAGCTATCCTTTAAAAAAGGCTTGTCCTGTGGAACAAAGCTTCAGCGATTAGCTCCATGTTCAGGATGGACAAACTGGCTTGGTTAAGTTTGCTCAACCCCAGCTTGCGTTTGCCTTGTAGGAAGATAAAAAGAGATTTAAAACCCCCAGTTCTGGCACAATTTGTTTGCTTTGCTTCACTTGGGCGCCCATTGCCGTCTGCTCACAGGGGAGAGAACACGTCAGAGAGCCAGGATCCAGTGGCTTTTGTCACCAAATTAAGGTTTCACTGCAGATTTGGCTCTTCTCACAGCCAAGCCATCTCACCCCGTGCCTTCCTGAGGTGCCTCAGAGAGCTGTGACTCCCCTGGCCTTGGGGAGCCCCTGGATCTGTCCTAACAGCCTCGGGAAGGGATGGGATTTCCCCGACACGCCGTGTCTCTGGGTTGTCATCCCGGCTCGCTGCGACGTGTGTGGGATGTGCACAGACAGAGGTGGGCGCAAAGGCCCGTGGTGGCAGGGTCCTCTGTCACCGTGCTGCCACGTCCTGCCTTGCGTGGGAAGGATATGGCAGGTGAGTCTGGCAGCCAGGGGCAGCTCGGCAGAGCCGGGGCAGTGCGTGTCAGTGGCCAGCAGAGATGTTGCCAGCTGGAGACAGGTCTGAATGACCATGTTATACTGGTATTGTCTGGAGGAGGAATATGGTGAAGGTACTGAGGAGCGGGGCTGCTTTCGGCTCAGAGAGGTCAGCTTTTCAGGGCTAGGAATACGCTGAGCATGCGTTTGGCTGAAGCCTCCAATGCTTTCTAGAAGCACGATGCTCCTTCCTTTGTGGCAGTGATAATTTTGGATGGAAAGTAGAAGGGAAGGCGCCGTAGAAAAACTGCCCAAGTGAACCTTGTCCTCCATAAACCTCCCTCACTAGGAAGGTCCTCTCGTCTCCTCCCTGTTGTTCTCCTTTACGCCGTTTCACAAATGCCGTGGTATTTTAAATCTCAAACTCTTTCCGCTTCATTCAGCAGCACACACTCCTTGTTCTTGTCTTTTAATGCTTTTTAGGGTTTTCTCCAGGACTTTTTGACATTTCTCTAGGATGAAGACTGTTCCTTTAGTCATCTTCGGCTAAAGACGCCTTCAAGAAGAAAGTTGAAATGACCTGGGGAAAATTCCAAACAGCACGGAAGAGGAAAACAAGTATCCCAGCCCTTAGCATGAGGGAGATGCCTCACTTATAGTAGATCCATATTATGTCTTATATATACTTCTGTGAAGCACCTATACACTGGTGTGTGTACATATATTTATACACACACGCAGATATATTCCATCTGTATACACTTATTTGTGTAATAACATTATAAACAGCACATGCATTCTGCGAGTGCATACATATAATCAATATTATACATATATATATATATACTCAAAGTTTGAATAAATACTATATATTCCACACTTTGAAGGAGAGATATTCTTGTGATTTTTATTAAATGTAAGGCTCTGCAACCATAAAATAAAGCCAACTCTTCGCAAATCAGGATGGCCCACATCAGTGTTTCTTTGTCCATGGGATAATGCGATTTCCCTTTCTTTGGCGTTTTCACTCGTGATTTGGAAAATGATGCTTTAAGCAAGGGTCCAACTTCTCAGAGGGGGGATCCAGACAATTCCTAATTTTGCCCTAGAGGGAAATGGGAGAATTAGAATAAAAAGAGTATGTAATTGGATTGCAAAAATATGCAGCCTTGGAAAGAATGGTACATTCTGGTATAAATAGAATTTACTCTGTGTTTTACACCCAGAAAATGCTAAGCACAACCTTCCCATCAATGAAATGCACACCAGAATAAATCCTAGCAAGAAGATGTACTTCAACCCATTTTTTTCCCACTGGCAGCACTCAGGCAGGATGGGACCTCGTTAACCTGACCCAGGACAGCTGCTCTCTGAGCTTTTCCTCCTCAATCCACATGCAGATGGGTCACCAGTCAGCAGGGACTTGTTCCCCTCCTCATGCTTATTTGGAGGGCGTGAGGCAGAGCCCCTGCAACCTGAAGGAAGGCATTGCTTCAGGAAGAGATAGGATTGCCCAGACCCTCCTTCTCACCAGGAGAGATGTCTTTCCTTCCCCTAAATCTCCTCGTGGGAAAGCTTGAGCTCTCAGAGCCTGGGAAAAGGCAAGTTGTTGTGCTGTGTGGTTTTGCTTTTACTATTAAATTGAGGAAATGCCCTTTTTAGCTCTTGTCAGTCTTAGATTGACACGGCCACGTTTCATCCGCTTTTTGCTATCGCTCACTAAGTGGCTGTGCTGAACTCTCTGCCAAAGGCTGGGTTTGCACTGCTCATCTTTTAGAGACCCTTCAGGGAAAAACAAGATAAAAAACAGCATTGGTCCAATGCAAGCCCAGCAATCCTTATATTTGGGAACTTCTGAGTTTATAATCATGTGGGATTGGAAAAATAGCTCTGCCTTAAAGCCTGGAGGCTGCTGGAGAAACAAGGCTGTTGTTCTGCTGGATAATTTTGCTGCAGGGTGTAGCTGAGCTCGCTGCCTGGTACAGCAGTGCCCAAAACCCCTTCTCCCTCCCGGTGCCGGAGCAGATCCTGCAGCACCTGGTGCTTTGCACCTTCTGAATGGTGCCAAATGCTGGGGAACTGATGGGGGCACTTGGCCTGGAGGTGTTTTGTGAAAATGAGGTGAAAAAAAAATCATCAGTGAAATGTCCTGCTGAGACACATCTCTGCATTGGTGTGATCAGTGTATGAGAAAGGGAGGGAGAGGGGAAGGAGGAGACTGGGGGGAAACGTGGTCCTGTGTGCCCCAGCACTGCGCAGGGTTTGGTGCAGATCCAGCTTTGGAAAACCCAGTTATCTGAACCACAAGAAAATTGGCTTTGGTTTGTAAATCTTTGCCTCTCAGCCCAGGCTGACGGGGCAGGATGGGGCCGGGCAGCTTTTGGGGGACCTGGGGAGGGAATGGCCATGACCCCCTGCTGCAGCACACCCCCAGAACAAGGGCAGGGTCTGGGGGCATTGACTGGAGCAAAAGGCGTCCTGGTGGACTTTGAATCAGGCCTCGGTGACACCGGGCAGCAGCAGGGACATCTTCCCAGCTAAACCCCCCTGCGCCCCTAAGGCCAGGTAAGTGCCTGCCTACCAAAACAAGCCAGCCACAGCTCTGCAGGGACCTCAGGTATTTAAGGCTGTTAATGAAGATGCCCTGGTTCTCTCCTAAGTCCCCAGCACAGAATCACAAACCTCCCTCCTAAAACCAAGGGGGAGAGCCAGCTCCCACGCACCCTGCAAGCCAGTGCAGGTTCCTAGCATGCTTTTAAGACGCATGTCTCCAGCTCCATCCCTTCTGGTTCCTTCCTCCCGGGGGGGATTAAGCACTGTGAAAGGTCCTCACTACCCTCAGGCCAATGGCAAAAAAGTGGAATTTGGGAATGCGTTGCCAAAGTTGCTGCATTCCTGCCCTGACCCGACGGGGCTGAGCATCAGCTTGCAACCGGAGTGTAAAAGTAGCCTCTTTGCTTGCTGAACTGGGCGGAGGAAACTCTGGAAACTCCTACAGCTCCCCGAAGAAGTTCAAAGCTGTTAAACCAGGATCTGGTCTGATCTGATTTTTCTCAGTCTCGTCTAGCACATTTTTTGGTGCCTTGACCACAGGGAAAGGCTGATGGGGAATTTCTCATCACGTAGACTAAAAAAAGCACATGCAACCCACTGTCTTTCTCTCTCTGTTTCAGTCCCAGCCATGCCATCCCTCTTTATTAAAGTCATTAACAGCACTGCCATCCAGGCTACGTGGGAGCCCTCCATCAAACTGGGCCAGCACGAAGGCTTCAAGCTGTATTACCGCAAAGTCCACCTCTCCCACTACACAGGTCCAGTGCTACTGCCCAGCAACGTGACAGCGTACAACATTACCCACCTGGGTGAGTATGGTGACAGCTTGAGCCACGTCCCCTCCCGACCCTGGGAGAGCGCGGCTGTGTTGCACAGCCATGAGACAGGAGATGCTGAAGCTCTCCCCCAGGTTTTTGGGGTGCTTTCCCAGTAGCAGGTACTTGTTTGCAGCATCTTCTGTGTATTTGGTACGATGTGTGTTTCCTAAATAAGCAGCACTCGGGGAGATAACGCTAATATTAAACCTGAAATGCCCTTCTGGTGTCTCCTTCCAAACAGATGCGTCGGTGGTGTATGAAGTCAAGCTCCTCGCCTATAACCAGCACGGGGATGGAAATTCCACTGTCCGCTTCGTGTCCTTGAGGGAGACCGTGGAGAGGACAGGTGAGACGGGACATCAGTCTCGGTGGTGGGTTGTGAAAACCGCTGTGCAGGAAGGTGGCGAGGCCGGTCACGTCCCGCAGACACGTCCTCAGACGCCCGTGGCTCTACCCCCCATCTCACCTTCAGCCACTCATTTACTTTCAGCGTCGCAAATAATGATGCAGCAAAACTCTGTGGGGTTGGGACCACCTGGTGCTGGTAGGGGTGGCTTCTCTGCCACATGGCTTGCACCATCCCTGTTGGCCAGGCCAGCCTGATGACTTATTTACTAAGGGGGAGAAAACAAACCAAATGTTCCTCTAATTGCCAGTTTTGTCCCCTAAGCTTGAGCTAGAGGTGAGAACATGAACAAACCCCTGTGCATAAGCCAAGAGCTGCTGTCTTGGGTGAGACATGGTGCACCAAGCGTCTCTGCTCTCCTGGAGCTCTTCTGGATATTTTGACCTTCACTGGTGCCAGGAAGGGAGGACACGTGGCTTTGGAAAGGAGAAGAGCTGCAGAGCAGGAGCACTCCATTATATGGCAGAAAAGGGGAACTCTCTAGAGGGAATCTCTGACTGATCACACCTTTCATATTCATCTATGTGTAAAAAACATCCTGCTGCTCTTGGAAGCCTTTTAAGCCTTCCAGTGGGAATATCTGCAAAAGATAGTTATTACTCCTCTGTCTGTGCTGGAGTAAATACTAATCTCGTTGGCATCTGCCTGCTTGGTGCTTTCCACCAGGCATCAGCCTGCTCTGGCGTGGTGGCTGCCTCTCACCTCCCACCTCGGACACAGGGTTTTGCAAAAATTAACATCAGAGTCTTTTTTGTTCATTAATTGTGTCTAATGACAACAGCCCGAGCCATGGGCCTGGCTCTCTATGGACTTTCCAGTCCTACGCTTGCTGCGACTGCCTTCCTCGGGTACCAGGAGCAGGCGACCTGCTCTGGCAGGCAGCTGCCCCCCCACCCCCCCGCCCGGCTCTCCTTTTCCCCACACACGGCTCCCAGCACCATCCAGGCGCCAACTTTTGCGCCGGGCTCCCCAAAAGCTGGAAGGAGCAGTAGGAAAACAGCACCGCTGACACACACACCCCCCCCTCCCCACCCTTCTTCTGGCAGTGCTGAATCCCCCGTGCGACTGCATGAAGGACGAGCAGAACAACAAAACTTCCACGACCGGCATCATCATTGGGATCCACATCGGCGTCACGTGCATCATATTCTGCGTCCTTTTCCTCATGTTTGGGTACAGAGGAAGGTAGGGGTTGCTCGTGCCGCTGTTCACGAGGGGCGATGGTCCCTAATGCCGTGTGGGTGTTCCTGGGTTGGGGGGGGGGGTGTGGGAGGGTGGGTCTCACACCCCCGATGTGGTGATGGGCTGTTCCCTGTGCACATCTCAGGACGCGCATCCCGCAGCGTGCGATTGTGGCCCTGAACGCCGGGTGTTCGTTTGCAGCACGGCTCCTGCCTCCCTCCCAGGCACGCAGATACACCCCATCAGCTCTGGTCCCCATGGAGGGACCTGATACTTCCTGGGAGGAGCATCATTATTTCTGCTCTGGCAAGCCTTGACCCTCCCTGTAAAGCAAAAGTCATTTCACAGTGAGGGGAAGAGTTCTGACTTTATAGGAGGGATTTAAGGAAGGAAGCAGAGGGTTGAGGCAGACTCAGACGTAGGGGAAGGAAGGTGGGGAAGCACCGGGTTTACTCACCCTCAGGCTCCATCTGTTTATTTTTCAGGCTGCTGATGTGCAAAAACGTGCAGGAGCAGCTGTCAACCCCGCAGATCCCCAGGAGTCAGCGGAGCACCGCGGGCCTCGTCCTGAACGGGGCCACTCGCAGGGACAGGGACGAGCGGGACTTGAATGGAAAGCAGCTGGACATGAACGAGCTGGAGAGGTTGTTCCCAGCACCCGCGTCCCAGGAGCAGCAGGATAAGGGAATAACGGTAAATCCAGCGGGATGGGGGCACGCGGGACGGGTGGCTAAGAGCATCGGTGACCTGCCGCTGTCATTGTTGTCCCCTTCTCTCTCTCCAGTTGGCTCACAGCCCGCCGGCCACCCACACCACCACCCAGCTATCCGCACTCCCTCTGGATGAGTTCAGCATCATCGAGGAGCGGCCAGACCCCCTCCCGAAAAGCCCCCGCGGCGGCAGCCCTGCTGCTCCGGCTCCCGACCACGGTGCCGCCAATGAAGGATAAAACTGCCAAGACTCGAACCCTCTTGTAGGAGTTACCAGAAACCAAACCCACGGCTGGTGATGTCTTTACAACGAGTCGTCAATCTCAGGTCAATTGAAGATTTCTACGGTCTGATTGTTATTTTTTTGTTTTGCTTTATTTTTATATATATATATAAATATATATATATGTATACAGCCTTTTGGAAACTCTGTGAAGTTTATCTTTCTGACCTCTCTCGGGCATCTCGATGTGTTTCTTCCGATGACAGCTTTATCGAGACTGGTCACGATGAATTTTCCCCACAGCTGCTAAGTAAAAGACTCCCTGGCAGAGTTTGGCGAATTCTCCCATCTCTGACAGACTGGGGATATGGTGGAGCCTCCTTCTCTTGGCATCCCAGACTTTTTCCTGATCAGCAGCTTTAGGACTACTTTTTGGATCTATTTTTTATTTCCAGAAGACTGGATTCGGAGAAATCCTTCTAACTTGACTCCAAAAATCGAGGCCCGGGAAGGCTGTCTCTCCGTGGATTTGATGATTTTGTACACTTTCACTATTTCTCAGGATACTTTTTTTGCTGATTGACTCTAAATAATATGAAAAAAAGAAAAGAAAAAAAAAAAAAAAAAAAAAAAGAGTGTGTGTGTCAAAGGATGCCTGAGGGCTACTGAAAGACTTGGACAGACAACCCGAGTGAACTCAGAACCTACCTCAACCGGAATGAATGTCTTCTGGGAAGCAGAAATACCTGCGTCTTCCTTCGTGTTCAAAAAACAAGTAGCGTAGCACTTGGTCAGTACAAGTTTGGTCCTACCTCAGCAGTCACGCTCTGTACCTGCCGCCTTGGTGGTTTTGTTGTCGTCGTTCCCATGTAAAGCACTTCCAAACCTTTGAAAGCAATGTTCTACCTCAAGCGTGCTAGAAACTCGTGTGTGTGTGGGTGTGTGTGCGTCTCCGTCCTCTCCTCTCCCCCAATTCCTGCCTCTCCCACCCAGCCCCACGCGAAGCAAGATGCTTCACTAGTGTTATGAGCTTTACTTCTAGGCACGTAGCGGGGCTCCGGTGTGATTTCTGCGTGGCGGAGATTCGTGTCATGGTTTTCTACTTTAAAGATTGTTGGGGCCGTCACAGGCACGCGGCTTGATGCCCCATGGTTCTCGATGCACCGTCGCTCTTGCAGGGCTGATTTGGGTGCTGGTGGTGGCTGCTTGGGTCCATCCTGGGTGTATTCGGGATGGAGCGGGGCGCACGGGATGCTCGGATGCCAGCGCTGGGGGCCAGGGCACCCTCCTGCCCCATCAGCGTGCCGCTCCCCAAGGCTGCTTCTCAGCAGGATGAGTTACAGCACGTGCCAGCACGAGCAGCAGAACGCACCCCTGGGAGGTGGCAACCTGGCTGTCACCGTCTTGTCCCTTCAAAGCCCAGCCTGCCAGCAGGAGCCCCTATGGGGGGGACCCTGATACAGCACTTCCCAAACCTCTTGAGATGCTACTGAGCTGCCCCCAGTGCATTTCCAGCTAGCAGGAGATCACGCAAAGAGCGAGCTGAGCCGAAAAGGGCTCCCTTCCCTGGGAGGGATGAAGCGAGGAGGGCTCCCGGGCAGCGATGCAGAGCGGGGCTCCGTGCCAGAGGATGCTGGGGGGCTGCTGGCAGCCCCCCGTTCCCCATGCCCAGGGTGGGCAGAGGAGCTCCGACACCAAAGAGAGGGTTTGTGTGTGACCCCCCACCACCACCACCACCACCTCCAGAGACCAAGCACCAACCTGCCACCGTGGTTTTCGGGTTTTCCTGGTGTGGTGCAGCCTTGTGAGTCGCTGTGTGACCGGTGTCATCCGTGGGGTGGGATGGGGACATGAATGGGGCACAGGGACGTCGGCCAGCCGGTGCCGGAGGGCAGCCCTTTCCCCGCGGCGCGGGTTGGTGAAAACCGGGTGAATGTGTAGGTTTGAACTCTTTATATAGGTGGTGGTAAATCAATTTGCAAGGACAGGTGAAAGGAATCAGGAAAGGAAATGAGTTTAAGTTTAAAAAAGTAATAATTGTATTTTTTTAAATGGTACCAGTGGGAGAGTCCCTTGTGTCAGAAATGTCCCCCATCACCTTCCCATTTGGCAACGGGATGCTACCGATAATTGTGTAAATAATACAATATACAGGACGATCAGGCAAACATCTCTTCCCCCCACTGCTGTGTCCTGGGGCTGGGCTGGGCTAGCTGTGAGCAGGACTCTGTCCTTCCAGATCAAATCATCCAGCTTGGCCCTAGCAGATGGAATCACATTGACCTCGAGAGCAAGGAGCTGTTGAGGCTCGGTGTTCGTAGTCCCCTCCCATTAAAATTCCTCCTCCTCTTGGCAACTTGCAGGAGAGAAAAAAAGTGAAGGGGTAAACTTACGTATCAAACCCTCACATAGCTTCTCCCCACCCCACCAAAGAGGCCATCAGACTGATTCCTGCTCACATCTACCGCGGGGGGATGCGCCTTCCCGCGCGGTGCTGGACCTGGAGGTGGCCTGGGAAGGGACCGCGGGGGACAGCGCTGGTGGCACCACGCAAGACCAGTAACACAGCCCAGCCCAGCGTGGGAGCTGGAGGATGCTGGGGCTTGGAAAGGGCAGGAGGGAGGAAGAGATGCCAAATGGTTTGAGTTATAACCTCACATCAAAGAAATCCCAATCTCCTCCTGCCATCCCGCTCCAGCTCAGCTTTTCTTTCCTTTTTTTTTTTTTTTTTTTTATTTTTATTATTTTGTGTGTGTAACGCCGACGTTCACATTGAATAAGTACTGTTGCCAAAGTGAACACAGAATTTAGACTAGCTTTCGGCTCAGACTTCCTGGAGCTGTGAACATGCTATTAATTTAATATCATATTATTGTGATATTGTAATAGTAACAAGTATTTGTCACTACTTCCTTTTATTAAAGGGAAATGCTGTGCCATTTGACTAGTTGAAATACAATAGTATGTCAAGAATAGAGCTTTTTCTTTTTTTTTTTTTTTTAATTATGCAGAAATGTGAGGGCTTAAACCAATGCAGGTTATGTGTTGGTTTGAGACGGTTGAAGATGGATGTAAATCTTTAAAGACTATTTTTTAGATGGTTAGCTTTTCCTCTTTTTTGGGGTTTCTTTTCTGCTCTTGTCAATCCGTACCACTGGGACCTAACGTAGACGGTTGTGGCACATCAGCCCCCGAAGGGATGAGGCTGAAGTCTGGAGATCCAGCAGGAGGACGTGGTCTTCCCTGAATTATCCAAGCCTCCCAAGTCCACAAAATTGGGCAAAAACCCCCTCAAAGTGGCACATTCTGGCTTTGTGCTGTGGAGTACCTCTAGCAGCTACTTAGCTGGAGGTGACACGTAACAGCCCCTTTTGCCGTTCACTGATGCCTGAGCCAGGCTGGAGGCAAAACTGTGTCGATCAAAAACTTGGGAAAACATCACCTGGAGTACGTCTAGCCTTTAATCTGTAAAACAAGAAGGAAAAAAGAAGTGAAAAAAAAAAAAGAGCTTGTGTTTGGCTTCAGCATGGGGGACAGCTTCAGGTCTGTCCTTAGTTCATCCAAACTGCTGCCCTGTATTTGAGTGAAACAGCTAGATTTTTGTTCTGTGCTTGGGGCACGATTGTACTTGGGTAGACGTGTTGTACTTGGCTACACGTTGTACTTGGCTACACGTTGTACTTGGATACACTTTGTACTTGGGTTCATGTTGTACTTGGGTACACGTACTGGGGTACACGTTGTACTTGGGTTCATGCTGTACTTGGGTAGACATGTTGTACTTGGCTATACGTTGTACTTGGGTACACGTGTTGTACTTGGCTATACGTTGTACTTGGGTACACGTTGTACTTGGGTAGACATGTTGTACTTGGGTACATGTTGTACTTGGGTAGATTTAGGACTGCAGGTCCCCATGTGCTGCCGGTCGTTTGGATGCAGTTTTACAGGCGTCAAAAATGCTCAAGTCTTCCATGATGCCGTATCTGTTTTCATGGCATCAGAGGCCTCTTCAAAAGAATCACCTTCAGGCGTAGGCCAGGTTGTTGATTGACCAGGAGCATTTCTACTCTTGGAGCATGTCCCCGTGCCTCTGGTGGCAGCTGCTGTGGCAGCATCCCAGGAGGGACGAGCCCTCCAGAGCCTTGAGGCAAAGCTCTGCTGCAGCCACGACGCAAACCCACCGGCCACCAAACCCACCCCTCGGGGCCAGAAATGGGATGGGGGGGATGCGTCTGTGGGGCGGTGCCATAGCAAAGGGTTCCAGGCATTGTTTTAAGTACCCAGACCAGAGGGCCAGACCAGCCAGACTGTCCCAGGGTCGTTATCGGTGCCTTGCACCGTCCTTGCCCACGTGCCAGAGATCAGGTAATGGCAGGTGTTCCCTTCGTCCCGATAATTCATTTATACACCTCAAATATTTAAGCAACAGCTTGCCAGATTTCTTATTTCTTTCTTTTTGTCCCCCTTCTCTTGATGGGAGGAATCAGAGTTTTATCCAGAGATCAAACTGCTGGAAAACCAGCAGGTGTGGGATCCAGCACAAGCCACTGGCAACTGCCCGCGTTTGGGGTAGGAATTTCATCCTCTAGTATTTTTCCAAGCATATAATTCCACTAATTCAACTTGATGCCTTTTCTGGGCAGATCCAAAAAAACCCTCTTGCTTTTCTGGCTGTGGTGAGATGAACTTACAGCAAGGAATAAAGTATCCAAAACCTGATTTTTTTTTTTTTTTTTTTGTAACCCATAATGGGCACAACCTATTCTTGGAGCTCTCAAGTTTACCAGAGATGGCTGCTACCTCAGGGATAGTATCCACATTGTCTTTAGTTGAACAGGGAATAGTTTTATGCTGTGACAGGGTATTTTCATGCTGTTGGATTCAGGTATTTATTTGTCTACCGTATTTTTCTTCTTCCTTGTTTTGTAAAGATGCTGATGTATTTAAGTGCTGGACCAGTTTGGGAATTTTAAAGCTTCCACCCAGAATTATACCAAGGGACTGTATGTTTTAAGTTGGCAATAAAAGCGGAGAGAAGCTGTGAAGCGGTGTTGCTTCTGGATGATGAAGGGAAGGTTTTCGCTGCCCGTGGAGGTATTCCTCTGGGACAACCATCCCAGGGCATTTCAGGGGGATTGATGCAGTGGCTGAGCCCTCTCTGAGCTGACTGACAGCACTTAAATCTGGGAAGATCAGTTAAAAAAAGGAAATTAAAAGCTTATGAAAACAAACGGCAGCGGCATGGGGGTTTGCTCCTTAGTTACTTCATCTGTGCAAACAGCATTTGGAAATCTATCCCTCCCTGTGCTGCGCCAGTGAAGGCAGATTAAAGATCCTATCTAGCAACCTGATGCCTGCTCATTTATTTCCCTCACCCGCCAAATTAAAAAAAAAAAAAAAAAAAGGAAAGGAAAGGGACGGTGCTTGGGCTGGAGCTGCGGGCGGGGAGGTGGTGACGTGTGAAGCACCAGCATCAGCCTCGGCACCAAAACCCACCGTACCGCTGGAAATCAGGGCAACGACTCCGGGTTTCCTCTGGGAGCAGAGTCTGAGCCTCAGCGGCGGGTAGCAAGAAGGGACGGGGCCGGTGCAAAGCCCAGCGACTTGGGGAAAAGCCTGATTTCATGGGGCTTTGGATCAGGGTCTTACTTACAAAGCAAAGAGGGATTTTTACTTTGATCGTATTTCCATCAGTTAAACTTTGCAATATCTTTACTTCTGTAATAAAGACAATGCTAAACCTTTGTCCCAGTCCTCTTCGGGAATCAACCGTTAAGAGTAATATTAAAAACCCAAATTGCAAAGCACTTTTCTACTGTTTATTTTCTACGTTTCTTACTTTGAACTGTCTTGATATTTGAAATCCCACTGATCCTACGATTGTTAGCTCTGTATAAAAAAAAAAAAAAAATAAAATAAAACCCAGGTTTTTTTTGTAGTTTGCTCTGTTTAGATTTTAGCCTGTGGCTACTTGTACAAGAAAAATAAAGCTAGAGTAAATGAGCTCAAGTGGTTCAGCCTGAGTGGTGCTTTCTTCGTGCCGCAGCACGTGCACGGCTGCAGTGCGGGGATCGTGTGGGGCAGTTTTGGGTGATTTTGGTGAACTTGGTCCTCTCAAAGAACAGCTTCTAAAATGCAGTTTTTAAGGGCTGAGGGGTTTTTCTTTTGCTGCTTTGCCCATAAACCTCAGGCACCACCATCAGCAGGGGCAGGCTGGAGCATCGGCTGCTGCTGGTGTCTCTTTGGCAGCTGAGGAGGTGGTTGAGACGAGAAGCTCCAGGGCCACAGTGTGACACCTCCTGCTTGGAGGGTGCAAATTAATTTCCAGTTAATCTTGGCTCTTGCTCAGCTATTACTGCCATCTGCTTTTCCCCCTGCCTTGGGCGCTAACAGGGCATGGCTTTACCTGGTGGCTCTTTGCAGAAACCTCAGCTTAAAGCCGTGCTCTGGCCTTTTCCAGCCCAGCTGCAAACTGGTCTGCGACGGCCGAGCCGCGGGCACGCGGCCAACCGCGGCGGCACAAACCTCGACGGCTCGGGCAGTGTGGTTAAACCCAACATTTGTGGTTAAACCCAACCATTGGCAAGGTACCGATCAGCCAGGTGTGAAGCCCAAAGCCGAATGCCACAGCGGCGTCCGCGGGGCTGATGCAGAAGGTGTAGCATTGCCCCAAAACAGGGGCTGTGAGCCCTGGGTCACCCTCTCGCGAGCGTCCCGCGCGCTGCGGCGCTGCACAGAGGAAGGAGGGGGTTGATGCTGGCTCAGCACCGGGTCCGTTTTCTTCATTCCACTTGAAGAGGTGGCTGGTACGGGGCTAATAGTGATTTTTTGGGGCTCCGTTGATCGCGGTGGGGACACAGACGTAGCCCTGCAGGGCCTGAAGGAAGCCAGCCGAATCACACCAGCCAGAAATCCAACTCATGATATTCTGTACTTTTGGACTGTTTCAGCCCAATTTTCAGGCGCTACATGTGCAAAGGAAGGGAGCTGGAGCCAGTGCCCGTCCGTGCAGCCCAAGGTGCAAGTCCTGGCCGCCCAGCTGCCCACGAGCATCAATTCACCACCAAAATGGAAACATTACATTTGGCCTTTTGGCCTTCTCCAGGTCCTTTTTTTTTTTTTTTTTTCTTACTTCATTCACACCATCCGCAGACAGAAAGTCCCTCCCAGGACGAGGGTGGCTGCTGCCACCAGCCAATTCAGAAGCGACACGAGCCCTTCTTTCACCAGGCAATGAGTTTCCCAGGTCTCTACTCACACCGCCAGCACTGCCGAGCTGCGAGGGCCATGCCGGGCGCACTCGTGGCGATGGGCTTTTAATGAGAGCCAGCAGGTACCCTGCAATAAAAACTAAACACCCAACGCTCGAGCAAACTGCGCATCCCAAGGGATGCTGGCTGTTGATGCTTTGAGCAGCTTAACAGCAACAAAAAAATGGTTTCAGTCCCCCCTGAAAGCTTATCTAAACATATGGAGGGGTCTGATGCCAGGTGAAGGATTGCAGAGGCAATTAGCTGCTGCTGAAAGTAATTAACTGCCTTGCAAGCAAGGACCAGGGCATGGGACGCCTCCGGAGGAGCCAGTGTCTCCGTGGTGTTAGCGACAAAGCCAAGCCCATCCCCAGGACAGGTTATTTTGGGAAAACACTGTTTATTGACAAGTTGGCTGGAAGAACAGTGCTGTCCTCTCCTCCTGCTGCTGCTCTTGATGCCAAAGGACAGAAGTGAAGGGCTGCGGGGGGGTAAAGGAATGAGACCGAGCCCAGCAGCACTTTCTAAAGAGGGTTTCAATAAGCTGGTGAGTGAAGAGTTGCTTCAAACAACTCCCCGAAGCTCTCGAAACTCCTAAATTGCAGTACGGATTGTCTAAATATATACTTCATAATAAATACAAGCATAAAAGCTGATTTTATTTCCCAGTGGCAACACAAGAGGTGAAAAAAGATCAGAGCTAGCTCACTCGGGGGATTTTTGTGTAAGTTCAGTGGAATACAGTGCTTCAGATAGCAGCTGCAGAGTCAAGGTATTGTATAAAGCTGGTGGCTTTCATTAAAAAAGGACTTTCCCTGCCTTCATGGCAATAAAAAAAAGGCTTGACAATATTAATCTAAAGTCTTAGAAACTAAGGAAATAAAAAACCAAAGCAATATGTTTAAATCGCTTTGATTTTTGGCTGTTGGAAATATTAGTAGTCTCAAAAAAAGCCCTACCTGAGCGTTCAAAACTCATCTTTAATAAAAGAAACCTTGTTTTGTCTACGCACATTCAAATTTCTGCTGGAAACATCTCATATCAACTCTTCAGCTCTAGAAATACTAAAAAAGAAATTGAGTTGGGTATTTTCAGCTCCGAACGCTGAGTTTCTGCCTCAGGTATTGCTGGAGAAGATGTTACCGCTAATGTCCTAGTTATAACCCTGCCAACACAGGGAGAATTTATAACATCCCATAAAGCCCTAACTATCCAAAAGGTCATTTTAGCGCTAATACCACTCGGGCATCACAGTTTCATTTGCTGACACTTTTACGAAGCCACGCTTAATTCCAGCACGGCTGCTGTAAAAACTTTATAGCGACGGTCTCTGCCTCAAAAAATAATCTTTAAAAATCAAGAGCTGCAACATCTTCATCAGCGGGTGCAGGTGGCCCTGACAGGCTGCGCCTGCTCTCAGTGTGAGTTCCCCCCCAAAACAGGGGCCGGGCACCCTGAGCCACTCCAGCCCCATTATTCCCAGCTCCATCAGAGCCCACCAACACTCGGTGCCACAGCTAAATTAAAAGTCTCCTAATTTCATACAAAATTATCAAGCCCTCGTCTTGCCCAGAAAGCCATTTCCTTAGAGCTAAAATAGCTAAATTAGTCTTGCTCAGCGTCTTAAAGGAGCTTGTCTTGTTTATTGAGCGATAAATATAAAGGTACAGTAACTAAATTCATCAGTCCTTAAACACAGCCGCTGGGAACGGCCATTTCCACCATCCAATCTACGGCTGCATGAATATTTCAGAGTCCTCTTTCCCTTGGGTACTCGCCTTATCTCTGGAGCCTGGATATTATTTTCTGCTTTTCAGCTTTTTGGATGTATTGGAGGAAATGTCATTATTTGGACCTGGGTGGATTACAGTTGACTTTCCTAAGCCAATTTATATTGGCAAGCTGCTGTTTTTAAAAACCCCTATAAATCACTCCTATGAATTTTAATAATATAATGTGGTTTCAAACATGCTCCCTTAATACGTGACACACTATTACAGCTGGCAATAGCTCCTCGGGTCGCGAACTCCGTTTTACCATCACCTTCGGCGAGCGCCGCGGGGAGACGAGCGATGCCTCGGCCCGAATTATGGAAATACCCAAATAGCTCGTTGTGGGGACTGCGATTTCACGGCGTGCCAAAAGCACACCTCCGCTCACGCCGCCCCGCTGCGTTTGATATTATCTGCCTGTCCAAACTGCAAAAGGCAGAATTAAATCTCAGTTGCATGAAACCCTCATCTAGGGGCTTACCCGGAGCGTTTGGAGCGCTGGAGGAAAGGAATGGGGGTGCTGGGATTCGGCCCCGGTCCCCTCGCTTGTGCTGAGCACTTGCAAACTCATCACAGCTGCCCACCCATTGCAAAGGGTTCTCCGCCTGCCCGACCCCATCCTCTCCCAGGGACCACGGCCCTGCATCACCCCAAGAGCCCCAAACACTCCTCGAGACAGCCCCCATCCCCCTGCGGCGTGTCGGGTACCGGTCACGACACGGTCACCACCGATAATAATACGTTTGAGGCCATTTAATTAATTTCTTTATCTGAAACTTTGTTTGGAAGATCAGGAATTTCCTCCTTCCCTGCCAAGACCCCGTTCCCAAGGCAGAGGCAGGATCCAGTGCTTGGGGTGAGACCTTAAAAGATGCTGGTGCAGAAATTGCTGGGATTAGGACTCTTTTCTGATATTTCCCTTAATAAAGACATAAAACACACAGCCAGAGTGTGACCCCCAGCTGAGATTCACGGCTCTAAGTGGTCCAGAAGCTCCCCCATGCCAGGAGATGAGGCCAAACCTCCTAATCACCTATTGATCTGTTTTGATGAGCTCTGCTCTCTTCTTGTGTAAATTATATTAATTTTCTTCCCGTCCCTGTTGCAACTACTCCACGACGTCTGCCAGCTCGCAAAGGGTGCTCATGCGGTGGGGAGTGGTCTCCTGGTCAGAAGAAAAAGGGATAAGAGGGATGGGGTGTAAAATCCAGGGCAGGAAGGAGACCTTGGGAGACGTTTTTCAAGGAACCAGGCCACGGAGCACCTCCTGTGGTTCCTCTGGAGAAGCTTGATGGGGTTTGATGCCCCAGTGATGGCACCGGTGATGTCCCCACTGGAGGAGTGATTTTGCTTGTCCACGTTGCCTGGTTTTAATTGCACAGGACCAAATTATAAGAATATAATATACACATCTGCAAGAAAGAGGATCATCAAGGGATGGACTAATTGCAGGCAGGGGAAAAAAATAATGACCCAGTTTTTGCTTTTTGGCTTCTGAAGGCAGCGAGGCCTCCCCAGCATGGGACGCAGCAGGATGGGGGAAAAGGGGTGCAGGCAACTCCCTGGACCTTGCTACTGCTTGCTTGGCTACAGCCAAGCCTCGAAGGAATCACTGAGTTAGTGTTCTCAGGAGAAGAAAAAAAAAAAAAAATCCAGTTTGTGCAGGGAGTGTACAAGCTTTTCAAAGGCTTTTGCTGTGATGATTTACCCTGAAATGTTGTCATGTTCATCATTAATCTATTTTTTCCCTTTTCTGTAACTTAACCTGCGACAAGCCGACATTGTAAGTGCTTGATTTTCCAAGAATAAATTACAGTTTCATAAATGGTATTTTGCTTCGCTGCTCAATTTGCAAGTGAAATGATGCCAATTGCTTTGTTCACAGGATTTTATCCAGCACGACCAATACCATCCTCGAGATTATTTTTTTTTTAACCCTCAAGTTATTTTCGTATCCTATATAACAGGAATACATGGAAAAGTACAC